GATCAGCTAAGATAGGTATAAAGTGAGATTAGATCCTGTTTGATTAGAATATGGGTTAGGCTTGTCTCGTAATGGATATATATAGGTGGTGTAATACAAATATACCACTGTTTAGGGTTAGGATTCACATGTTGTTGATCAGCTAAGATAGGTATAAAGTGAGATTAGATCCTGTTTGATTAGAATAGATACGTGTATTCTTTATTATTTAGTTTACAAAGATTAACTAACAAGTATATCGGTAACAACTAACCTTTAGTCAGCAGGATTGGTATAGGAGTAAATATTAATTTAAACTAGCTAGTACATGGGAAAGTTTGTTTTAGATTAACGGTCATACGGATAACAGTGGATGTTCTTGTTGGACGGTTATAGAAATATAAATAAATCTAGAGGGGGAGAACGTTCGTTCTAATACAGGGTGTTATAAAGTAAGCTAGTATGTAGTTGGTAAGAACTTTAACGAACTATATGAAACTCTAGATCCCGATAGAAAATTGAAATACTGTTTTGTAACAGTAACGTTTTGACCAAACACAGAAAATAAAAAATTGTTTTGTAATTCAGCAGTCTAAGTACGACTGTGTTTACACCTTGATTGTTTCACACCAATACAGGTGGTATGACTTGATTGTTAACTGTTGTACATGTGGTATGAATACCTTGATTGTTAATTGATACAGGTGGTGTGAATACCTTGCTTGTTAACTGTGGTACAGGTAGGGTAACAGAGTGTTTAACTTGATCGTTAGCTGTAGTAGAGGTAGGGTAACAAAGTATTTAACTTCATCGTTAACTGTGGTAGAGGTAGGGTAACAAATAATTTAACTTGATCGTTAACTGTGGTAGAGGTAGGGTAACAAAGTGTTTAACTTGATCGTTAACTGTGTTACAGGTAGGGTAACAAAGTGTTTAACTTGATCGTTAACTGTGTTACAGGTAGGGTAACAAAGTATTTAACTTGATCGTTAACTGTGCTGCAGGTAGGGTAACAAAGTGTTTAACTTGATCGTTAACTGTGTTACAGGTAGGGTAACAAAGTGTTTAACTTGATCGTTAACTGTGCTGCAGGTAGGGTAACAAAGTGTTTAACTTGATCGTTAACTGTGCTGTAGGTAGGGTAACA